ACAATGAAAATAAATTTTACTGCAGTCTCGTCTTACGTTACTCAATGAGAGTAATGCATTCTGAATACTTTGGATTACTTAATATATTATCAAGCTTTTTACAACTACATGAATGTACTATTGCTGTGTGATTTATTACTTTTACTGAAGGTTACTCGCCGTACTAATACTGACTGCATTGACTAAAACATGGATAACTCTTTCCAAGCGCAATGCGAGAGCTTTTGCGAATACTTTGAGATCAGTTGTGAGCAGAGATATTGGTCTGAAACTAGAGCACTCAAGAGGGTCTTTTCCCTTTTTAAAGAGAATGGTAATAAGTTCTGTTTTCTGGTCTCTGGGGAAAGACCCGTTCCAGATTGCAAAATTAATTGAGCCGGTCAGAGCAGCACGCTCCGTTTTGCGTAACTATTTTTAAATCCCGGTAGCTCTGCAACCACGTAAGCTAGCGCAATAATTCTTTTGCATATGAAACCAGAGGAGTTGTACTTACATCTTATGCCATCAGCTTGTCCTCGGTCACGGTTTCCTTCCACATATAGCTTTGCAAATATTGCAGAAAAAGCACTTGCAGCAACAAAAACATAATATTCCAGAAACACGCTTTTCCAATCCGATCAGCTGTTCGTAACACTTCCTACATCCATCAGCGCGAACTATCCTATGTCCGCCATTACCTGCCCAGAACCGGAAGTGACATCATTTTCGCGGAAATTTAGTTGTTTTTTTTTTTACCATCAGGGCCTTGTAAGCCTATACTGGTGTAGTTATGTTTGACTTTATGACTTTCTGTGTCGTTTATGGGATGCTTAGGACTCATATTGCACAGCTGGAAATAGTTTATTTTGATGCACATGCTGTTTTTTTTGCAAATTTGCATTATAATTTTTTTTTTCGTTTTTCCTGCAGTATAAAAAAATTGGTGTATTTCAAAAATAAAACTATGAAGACACTCAAAATAAATTTCCTGTGGTGGGAAACTAGTTTGTGCAACTTTTTTGTATTTATAGTTTTGAGGGATAAGCCTCTTAAATTTCTCTAACTACAAATATATGTTAAAAAAACAAAAACAATTTTCAATTTTTTTGTAATTTATTGAACTTTTTTGCAATTTACGTAATTACTATGCACTTAATGCATACATATTATTAGAATCTGGGTTATAATGGTTGTATTGATGTATAGCAACTTGAAATGCTCCCAAAAATGGTACTACAGCATGTAAAAATATAATATAAGTTCTGGCGGACTTGGTTCTATGGTAGGTCTTAAAGGGTTAAGGTCTTTCAGCGCTCTATGCAGCTCATCTAGAGTTAATGCTATTACAGGTAGTATCCTTAAAATTGATATTTGATTTATACAGATTTTCAAAAAATGACGAGAAAGTCGCATTAATGGACTGAGGATTTGTCGTATTTTTACCGTTTGCAGCTGTTATAGCTACTGAACCGGCATCCTGTGTCATTATGGCACCGGTTCTGACATAAACGGTAGTAACCAGACTGAAAAGCAGCGCTACATTTCGGTGCTTTTTTTTCCTGAGCTGTGATACACTTTAGGATTCTAGCCAATCATTTTACCTTTCAAGCGATAGTAGGCGGGCCCAGGTACGTACGTTCTTTTAGAGCAGAGCTACAGATTAAAAATGCCCAAGGCGAAGCGGTCAAAGTCTGGCTGTACTTCACAGCAAAAGATGCAAACTCAGCAGCCTGCAACAAGTGCTTTAAGCGTCGTATACTGTCAAAGGAGGTAACACCTCAGAATCTGATGAAACACCTGGCGACGCATAGCGTTTTTTTAAAGCCGAGAAATGCGCCGTATTTGATAGCTTGCTGCGAGACCTCACACCGAGCGCATCTACTGCGGGTGTGGTGCCTGTTATCAGACCCGGAGTTAGCAACATCCCCCAAAAACCCGAAGAGGAGAGTCCTGGCCCCTAGCCCTGCCAGTGTAGCAGAAATGATGAGGATGATGATGCAGCAGCAGCCGTTCTTCTCTGCGTGAGTAGCTTAATGTTGTTCGTGTGTAATTTACGTTGAGTAGGCTAACCACGTTATTACATTAATGCATGTAAGGTGAACTAGCAAACATCATCATAGCTACATGCGGCTGTCTTCTTGTTTGATGGCAGATACTCCCTTCACCCTGGCCAAAAAGGCTAAAATGACCAAAGAAAAAGTGGAAAACAGTTAAACATGAGAGGTTTTTGGACAAAGTTTGTGTTTTTTCCATTGTTTAAGCACTGCTTCCAGCCAAGAGTGATACCATATATGCCCCATAGCTGCAGTAACTGCACATTCACCCAGTGTATATACTATATTTATATATATATATAATGTTTCTTCCCCACACCCCCCCCCCCCAATTTTTTGCACATGTCGAGGAGCGTGTCAGGCTACATTTCACTGTGTGTTATACTTGTATAACTATGCATGTGACAAATAAAGAACCTTGAACCTTGAACCTTGAACTATAGGCTGTCAGAAAAGGCTAACATTGTTATCTTTTTACAAAAAAACAGCTGAATCATGAGAGGTTTTTGGACAAAGTTTGTGTTCTCCATTCTTTAAGCACCGGTTTGAGCACCGTTTAAGCACCGGCACCGTTTCAAAAGTACCGGTTTGGTACTGGTATTGGATAAAACCTAAACGATACCCATCCCTAGTTATAGCTGGAATATGTGCCCTTGTTTCACATTCTTTAAGCATAAGTGCCAACAAACGACTAGGACGCTCTGATTCAAAATAGTACTTCTGTCTAGTTCTATGCAAGATGAACTCTGATTTGGACAAGGTTATTGCATCATATTCTTCCTTCAGTGAAGCTAGGAGTGTAGACTGATCGTCCGACTGGATAAGTTTTTGCAGATTCTGTAAAGATTCTATCTGATTTTCTGAATTGGACACCTGAGCAAGTTTGTTTTTGCCAGCATGGAGGAGAATGAGATGGAAAAGCCACGAATGAAACATTTTGTAGCCTCCCATAAGACTTGTGGGTCGATATCCTCATTAGCACTAAAAGATCCTTCAGCTGGAGCTTAAGCAGGCTGAGAAAGGTAGAGTTAGTTATTACATTGAGATAGATAACCATTTGCACTCACATTCACACTGGTGGGCAATTTTGAATCACCAATTAATCTAACCCCATTAACTGCATGTCTTTGGACTGTGGGACTAAACCAGAGTACCCAGAGAGAACCCCCACTAATACAGGGAGAACATGCAAACTCCACACAGAAAGACTTGTGATGGTGGAACTGAACTCTTTCTTGCTGTGAAGCAACCATGCTAACCACTGTTCCACTGTGCTACACGGCCAATCTGATTACAGTCTTTAAGAGTTTCATGATTCATAGTTCTCTTTCAGTTCTCTTGCAGATGTAATAAATCATAATTCTCTTTTTTTGTTACTCCTGTGAGGCTGTTTGTGGGCAGAGATTTTTCAGATATGCTTAAACATGAAGCTAACTGAAATCAGGTGTTCTGTTAAACACACATTTGGAAATGGCCAATGTTTATAACACAGTTGTGTAAACTGAAATGTCAAAAGTCTGCAGGACCAACTCTGGTGCCTCATTCAATGAACACAGCTCACCATTAATATTATGACCGTTCATTAAATATCAGGGAAAACATTGTTGACTAAGCAACACTGTGTTCGGGAAACACCTGCCAGCTGAACTTAAAAGAAAGGTTTAGAAGACGTATTGTTGTTTTGAGCAAAGAAGGGCTTTCTCAGCATGTGATCACAGAAAAACTGCTTTTTATTTCATTAATAAAATAACATCATGAAAATGATGTGCCAATTAGTGTTTTCCTTGTTTGAACTGCATAAAACATATAATGCACATGTATGACTTCTATCTTTTTCCATATTCGAAAACATATTTTATAAACACTGCAAGCAGTTTGTTGTGCAGAGTCATTTAAAAAAAAAAAAGATAAATAAAGTCACACTTTAGTGTGTCTCTGTGTTTGTGTGGATGTGTTGGAAAACACTTACGTGGTCAGTTAAAGTGGGTGTCAAAGATTACATGTATTAAAGGTATTAAAGGTAATGAGCCCTGCTCCAAACAGCTTTCACAAAATGCTTCATGAAGCTGGATCTATTCAAGATCATATTCCTTCATTTCAGATGGCTTATCACCTCGTACTTTATGGTGGTTTTTGGCTGTGGCTGACCTTTGAACATCTTTTTTAGGGCTCCTGTTGGCCTGTGGGATAGGTACTTGGAGCTGTCCTGTAAATCTGCTATTCTATGAGATATATGAGAAGGGGACTCAAGTTTAGAAAGAGAGGAGACATATTTGCACAGTCAAAAAAAACTCTGTGACTATGTGTGGGCAGCATGTTTCACTGTTTCAGCAGGCAGTTTAAAGAAAGGCTTTACGCCGGCTTGATTTATTCTCTGTGTTTTAGTTTACATGTACAGCCAGATTACAAGGAACCTGGACAGCAGGAAGCAGGAAACCCACACTAGCAGACTCTACTCAAAACCACCCAAAACAGGAACTCTCTTTCTGAGAAGTGATGGTGCTCACCACTGCAGCACCACGCTGCCCTGTTAGTTTCTGTGCTGGTAAAAATAAAGATGAATAAATAGTTCACTCTGACATATTTCCTGTGTCACAAACACTTCTTCTCTCTGCTGCTTCGATGTACTTACAGTTTGTAGAAGGCAGCGTCTAACAAAGCCGTGTTATTACAAACATACTGCAGCTGCTGAGTTAAACCTGTATGTTTGTGATATGATAAGCAGCAAATATTAAAAACAAGTTGTTGGATGTATTTTAATGAGCACTAAATGGTTTCCCGATCCCACTGAAATCCACAAATGTATTTAAGCTACTGCAAGTTTCTGTCATTTATCATTTTTAATGATTTAATTACTGTATTAATGGAATTTCAGCATTTTTAATTTATATAATGGAACTAGAGGTCTTGCAGGATGTTGTTTGCAGTGCTTCATAACTGACTCTTACACGTATCATGACGTGTCAGATGAAAAGTGACTCTCGTCTGGTTTTACTTCCTCTTTGTTTTCTCTTCAAAGCTGTCGGACTTAAAGACACAGACAGACGGTGAAGCTGCTCAAAGATCTTTCAGCTCAAAATGTCTACAGAAATTCAAAGTGTTGAAGATTTCAGGGTGAAATACAGCAGAGGGTCCCAAGAGGATGGAGGAGTGAGAGAGCAAAGTGAGGTGGAGGTGTTAGATGATGGAGAGCAGCACCCTGACGTTGGCCTACAAGAAGCTGGTAAGCAGGAAATCATCAAAGTGACCAAACCAAAGAAAATGTTGGTGATGAAAGTGTTGTTCAGTGTCTTTCAAAGCTCTGATATCCGACCACTTTAAGACATATTAGTGTTCGTGTCACATGTCCCCAGAATATGTTTCCAGTTTCAGTCCAAACTGGCACACAGATCATTTGTTGCACTGGGCCTGTTTACTCCCAGTTAGGAGCTCCGTTTCTAACCGTCTGACTGTTTCAGTGTCTGTGGCTTCAAGTCAAACTGGTTCAGCTGCTGCTTTCAGGAAGAGGTCTGTGAGTGGCAGAGAGAAGCAGCCAATAGGAGCAGCACAGCTCTTTTAACCTGTTAGTTAATGCAAAGCGTTTAAATCAGTATTTCATAGTTGTTCTGTGGTCCGACAAGGAACAGATGGATATCTAAACAAATTCTTTGTTAAGTCAGCTCTATCAAAATGCAGTATATGTGATTAGGAGAAACACAAACAGATGAAAAAGCTTTTAACTTAAAAGTGTTTAAGTGTAGTTTAAACTGTAGAGTTTAACTGTACTAAAGAACAGAGTAACCAATAGAACTCATTTAACTCATCAGCCCTTAATGTTTCTACAGTTCATGGTTGTTCCTTATTATTGCATTTGTACATCACTCATGTGTGCATATGATAAAGCTAATAACTGTTACATCAGGACTGCTAGGCATCCTGTTCCCATGGAAACATTGTCTTCTGAAGTATTTCAAGAGAAATCAAACACACCTGTCCAACAGCAGCTGAAGCACGCTAAAAAGATATCAGTTTTCTGATTTCTGTTGGTCAAAATATATTTTGCTGCTGACCACAAATGTGTCTAAAATGTAGTCATGTCTCAACATTGCCAGCCACATTAGAAAAACACATTTTGTGATGTGCAAGAACCACTCGATTTAACATTCGTACAAAGGAAATTAACTAAATGTAAAGAAAAATGAATTCCAAAGTGTCTTTCGTGCCTCATCAGTGGACTCTTTGTGTATTTTCTGCACAGATGAACACTTCCAGAAGTACGCTCCAGCTTCAACAAGAAGCTGGCTCAGAGTTTTTGAAGTAAACCTGGGAGTGCTGTATCTTCTGATGCTGGCTGCAATCACGACACGCTGTGAGGACATTTAATTCCAACATGTATTAAAAATTATTATTACAATTTTAATTATTATTATTTACAGTTGACATCTCTACATGAAACTATTTGAAATTTTAGACCTGCTTTTGTCCAGTTCTTATTCTCCTCCTGCAGTGTTTCCTCTGGTAGGATGTGATCTTTTGTTGGGCTTTGAATACATAGTGCAGAAACATATGTAACGTTTATTTGTTTTTAACATCTATTCCTTTGATAAAGTTAGGCTAGGAAAAGCAAAAAAATCATCCACACTGCTTTCTAACGGGACCACACTCTCACAGTCTTCCTTGCTGCAGGGGAGGGGTAGTGCAGTGTGCTCAGGGGGCAGGGAAGGCTGGCCAACACTGCAGCTACCATCATTCTAACCACATCTTCCCTATTTCAGTAGCTTTCAATGGCTCGAACAGAAGAAAAGGATTGGAGTAGCTGACAGGGACAGGAAGAGCGAGCAGGAGAGAGTTTCTCTGACAGTGTCAGAACAAGCAACAGCAGATGGGCGCTGGGGAAGCGTTTTTGATAAAAAACACATTATAAATTAACAAACATCTGGGCTGATTTCTTCCCCACCTACAACACTCAACACGGTGATTCTGTGATTATATCAACAAAGCAGACAGGCAGCAGAATCTGCTGAAGAGTGATACAGGTGCAGTCACACTATGTTAGACAGTGGTGGTCTGTTATCATTATGCTGGCTAGTTAGCTCACTTGAGATAATTAGGGAGCTAACAAGCTAATGTTTGTTTCATTTATTTGAAAGGAAAATGAAAAACTTCCGTCGATGATATTATTTAGTTTTAAATCAGTTTTGTTGCTCTTCTAACTAGATATTTTAGTCACTTTGGACAAAGAGCAGCTGCAGAACAGAAACAATGAACTGAGCAACAACTTCAGCCTTCTGGCTAATCACTCTGGTCAGCTACAGGAAGAGGTCAAGCAGCTCAAAGAAAAGATGGAAGGTAAAACACCTTTGAATCACGATATGAAAATATCTCTGTGAGTCAAGTAAAGGCTGTAACTTTCAGCACTGAGTAGAAACTGTATTTAAAACATGTGTTTGACTTTAAGAGAAGTGTCCCGATCGATGGACAAGATTTGGAAGCAGCTGTTACTTTAAATCCACTGAGGCAAAGCACTGGCAAGAGAGCAGGAGAGCCTGTCAGGATAAAGGAGCTGATCTGGTGATCATAAACAGCAAGAGGAACAGGTGGGTGTGTTTGTTCATGTCTGTGTGATCTTTGATGGAGCTGACAGTCATCTGTTACTTGTGTCTTTGACCTGCTGTCAGTCTGTGACCTGCTTCCTGTCTCCACTCTGATGGATTTCTTCTGATTTCTGCACAATGGAAGAAAAGTTTCATCACAGTTATTCTTCCTTCAGACATGTTCACAAGATGATGTCACTACAACAGAAGTGCTGAATTATGACTGGAGACAATATTTGTGTCTCTTCTCAAACAGGAATTTGTCAGTAAATTTGGAGGAGAGTCCTGGATTGGTCTGGAAGCTAAACAGACATCAGGAGGATATAAATGGGAATGGGTGGACGGATCAGCGCTGACAGAAAGGTGAGACATTAGTTTGTTTCTATTCCAGAGTTATTATTTAGAAGTGAAACATGGATGTTTTGGAAGATAGATCAGCAATACATGAGCTGAGCTATTTTCCAACAGCCCCACAAACTGAATGTAAAGAAAAGCAGAAATCCTCCTTTGAATGAACAGCTGTGCTTGAACTCTCTTCATCTGCAGTCTGTGATGACGTTCAGTTACAACAAGTCAGTTTGAAGGAATCAGGATTGAAAAAAGTTTACTCCAGCTTAATATCATATTTTATTTCTCTGACAGGTTGTGGGCACCAGCACAGCAGAGTACGAGTTATGATTCCTATGGAGTCTGCTGTGATGATAAAGGGAACTTGAAACAGGCAGTTGAACATTATGTTGGTTACAGCTCGAAGACCTTCATCTGTGAGAAATGAGTTTGGTGCTTTGATGTAAATGTTTGAATAATCCAACCAAAGACACCTCACTATGAAATGTCCTGCATGAGCCTCAGACTCAGCTTACAGTCTTTACTTGTTCATTCTGCATCATATATTGATTACATGTGTTATCTAAGGACCTTGGAAAGAAAAGCTTCTGGACTTGTTTAAGTTGCTTGAAGACGTTTCATCTCGTCCACCTTTTGGATGATAGGTGAATAACAAAAAAAAAAAAAAAGGGGGGGGGGGAATGTACAATGAACATAGAGAAGCAAGGCACTGATAACTATAACAATAGTAGCATCAACAATAACAGTAACAAAACTAAACTAAACCGGTCTCAAAAGGAGACTGCTATCCTTCCAGTGATCCCAGTCCATCTTCTCATTTTTCAGACTATTTAAATGCTTAAGTGCTTACCATGCTAGTCCACACCCAAACCAAAACGCAGAGTATTAGACCGAACTTTGGAATAAATAACTGGCAACAAGTGATATAACAACACATATCCCAAGCATAAATGGGACTCTGTAGAGTTTAATTGTTGTTATTATCTTGTACCTGTTTCGGCCATTCATAGTTATTCCAAACTATGTATTGTCAGTGCAGGAAAAAAAAAAGGGAGAGCGAGTCCTGGCCCTGGACATATATTAAGCGCACGTTTTGGGTCTTTAAAGGTCATTTCTTGTCCACCCGCGGTAGTAATCCTCAGTGTCGCTGGATACCCCAGTGGACTCCGTTGCAACTGTGAAGTAGATTCCTCACCTCAGTAAAGGTGGCACGCTGTTTATTCACAGCTTGGGTGAAGTCCGGCAGTACGCGAATACAATCACCATCTACAGTTGTTATCGCCCCAGCCTCGGCTGCCTTTCTGAGAAATATTTCCTTTTCTGTGAACTAATGACATTTCACTACAAATGCGCGGGTGGCTGGTCACCTTGAGTTGGCTTGGTGTAGAGGGTCCAATGCGCCTATTCTAGAGTCGGCACTTTTTCTAGACCAAGAGCATTTTTCAGCATTTCCGACGCATATTCAGATGGGTGTTTCCCCTGCTCTCATCCCTCCTTTACCACCATAACGCGGCCGTTGCAGCGCTGTGACCTAGCCTCCAAATCCTCGCACCAGGCCTTCAGCAGGGCAAGCTCTTCTTTCAGGCTGGAAATGTCGATTCCATAGAGTCGGAATTAGCAGTGACTCCCTTTTCCAACTCAGATGTGTGGTTTTCAACCTTATCCAATCTTTTATTGAGTGTCTCAACGACGTTATGCAGCTCTGTTTGGGTCTCTGCAGCCTTTTCATCTATTTTCTCCAGCAATTCTTGCTTCATTCATTGCAGCTCCTTCAGGATTGCCTGCTGCTCGCCCGCAGTTGTCTCCGTGGCATTTGGGCATGCTAGGCTAGCTGGGCCAGCAACTAGCTCTCGTGTCCTGCTCCATCTTGTTGGCTTGAATTTTTTTTGGGCATGTTGTCCATAGACTGGGATGGTTCTTTTCTAATATGTTGTTGCTCTCATATGTGGAGTAATATCACGTAATTTTCTAAGAATTATATGGTAAATACAAGGGTTTAAGGGCAGAGCTCACAAATCAATGTCCTCACATGGCGCTGCCGGTTAAAACATTTAACAGAATATAAGGGAATCAGCTCAGGTGTTATTTTTAAGGCATAGAATTAGAATTCCCTAAACAGCTAATGCCAGTTCATGCTTAATACCATTTTGCACCACAAGATGGTACAGTTAGACAGCTTCTAGTCTGCACAGAGATCAATCTTGTATTGTTTGTTTTTACAATACATCATTAATATTTTTGTTTGCTACCATATTGGTGAACACCCACACTATATTCAGCTGCTGTAAAACTGCAATGAGATTTTGGTTCAAATTTCTTCCAATAAGTTGATTCATTCCCATTCTCATGTTAATTCACACTTTGCATTTTGTAATTTAATGTACTGTATATATCACACACTTAAACAAAACAAAACTTTTT